CTGTTGCTCAAATCAGCCTTATCCTGGATGGAAAAATTAAAGCTCCAGGAGAGATTTTGGAGGTCTCATGGCATCACATTGCAAAGGAACCCAATTTCATTTCCTTAGCAGTGTTTGCTCTCCTGCCTATCACCGATCCTCCTACAGACATCACAATATTTTATCCAAACTTGCTCTGGGCTTTATTGATAGATATGATTTCCTTATCGAAGTGACAACATCAATATTTCTTGAGAATAACATCTAGGACTGTTAGTTAAAGATGTAAATACATCTTCATTGGCTGTTTGAGCACAGGAAGAATTTGTTGACTTGCACCTTTCTCTCTGAAATCTTCCTTATATTCTGGTATAATTCAGAAACAGTTTCTCAATGTTAGTAAAAAAAAATCTGATCACGAACTTGTTTTCTTTGGACACCTCTAGACTTCACCTGCAAACCAGTGGTGCCAAACGAAGGAGGGCCCTACCCCTAGGTAGTGTGAGGGAGCCTTCATCTCAATGCAAATCACAGTAACACAAGCACTCTCCTGGGCTTTTTGATTCATTGCTATGGTTCTAGTTTCTTCCAAGTCCCATCTACTGTCTATGTTCAAAGGCAGCTTGGGCAAACCCGGTAATGAATGGGACAGTTGAAAGAAAAAGTTTTCCCAGTTACATAAGTGGAAGGCAGAACATGATGCGCACGTGACATGAGGCTGCCCATCACATGTAAAAATGCATTCAGGCTTGTAAAATAAAACTTCTGTAGGAATGTTTCATCAACAGAAAGGCCAGGCAGGATAACTGGCACAAAGGCAAAATTTCTTCTTCCATGAGATTTGTAATCTAAATGACGAACAGGCAACACAGATCTTTTTATATATCTTAAAGACCAGAGCTTGGCTGATTAACAAGACAGTGGGCAATGTCATTGGCCCTTTACCTCAGAAGACCTTGTTCCCCTTCAACTTGTACAAGCTCCTCCTAAACACTACGATGCTGTGTGCCCTCACAGAGGATGCCACCCCCTCAAATGTGAGCACTCATGCTTAATAAAAGTTTCCATTCACCTGAGCCTTGGACATGAGGCTTCTTTAGGCTTTGGCCAGTCAAATCAGAAGACTCATTCTCATTTTCATTCTCCAACTGATGGCTCTTTTCCAAGATCAAAGTATTTTCCCACACAGAGCCCAAGCCTGTCATCCAAATTCAATAAGCACTCTACCTACGTGAGGATTGCACAAGACCTTTGCTGGCAATATTAGTGATAACATGGTGAAGTTACTGACTTAATGTCCTCAGACCAGTCATCACCATCTGCATTGCCATTTTGTGTTACTTTTATGTGTAGTAATTAACTGGCTTTTATAAAGTTATTTAATCAAATCTTAAACATTTTCCAGAGAAAAATCAGAATTAACACCCTGTTACAGAAAGGAATAAACCAAGGCAGAGGAGAGTCAAGCGCATCACACAAGGTTAGACACTAGTGCAATCAAAATTAGAGCTCAGTTATCTGAAATCCTGATCTGTGCCCTGCCTATCGATACGTTCTGCTTGGGGAAAAAGCAGCGAGCCAGCTGTATGTGCAGAAATTATGAACAGGTGCTCCCCATGCACTGGAACCACATCCCATCCAGGTCTCCACGCAGTGCTGCGTGACCTGTTCCTACCCAATGGCTTTTGTCCAGCATGGAGGACAAATGCCTTTCACCTTTCTTCCAGCACTGCTTGCAGGAAGTAAATCCTAATTTGAATGCAAGGTAAACACCTGTAAGTATTAACAATCTTTAAAACAAGACAAATATTTACTGTAACACACTACAGATCACCTTATTTTAAACATAAAGCTTGACAATAATTTTGACTGTATGTAGTTTATGGCTACTATCAGCAGCTTAAATGGTTTCTGCCCTGAGAGAGAATCACGACATGTTGTCAGTAACACTCTGTAATATCAACTGTATGTTCCAGAAAGTACATCACGTTTTTCTTGTGATAACAGAGCTTATGTGTACCTAGAGATATCGTTCCATATGAGAACATAAACAGTTTTATGCACGAGAGCATTTCCTTTGACTAAGTTTCTTTCTGATTTCACTAGCTATAAAACATGCTCTGTAGTTCAAGTGAGGTGTCAGACAGGTGAAGCACGCCCACGTGTGCTCAACTAGTCATCATAAGAATATGCAAAGTTTATTAATAAAGCTGCATCATTCAATTTGAAACAGGTTTTTTGACTAAATGCCACTTTTTGTTCTATTTTTCTCCAGTGTCTTAACACTACAGGGCTGGGACCTCCATGACCCATCACACGTGGTGAAGAGCAGTAATGGACAGACAATCACGAAAACACGATAACCCCACTATTGACTGAAACTATAATCCATTTCTTGAATAGATCCCTTGATTGCTACCATAGGATCAGATCTGCATGACTAATTGCCACATCCACACAGCAGCCACATGCTTCACACACACCCCACCCCGCCCTCCACTGACTGAGGCCGTTTATATGCTCCACCACCAGCACAAGCAGGCTTGTTTTACCTGCATCTGCTCTAAGGTAAAATCCAGACAGAACAAAATGGCCATCACACATACAGATGTTACTGAATGCTACCTTAATGCAAGTAACTCAAATCTGTGTGAGAACCACATTGGCTGCTGGACTTCTCTCTGCAAGCAGCTGAGCACCAGCATCGCTGTTCCACCCAGTCAGCTGCAGTAGTATATGTGGATGGGACTATGCCAGCCAAGATTCCTCAGTACCAAAAATAAAGTTTGCTCTTGTCATCTTGCAGGAGCCGAGTTGATTGCACTGGTGGTCTCAAATCCAGATTCTATTGAAAAATTACCTTATTTTACACCTTTTACAGGCCTCTTGTAGTTCTTTGATCATTTGAAGACCGAATTGGTTCTTCTCCTTCTCCCCCATAACCTCAACTGCTGTCTCCATTTTTAGGTTCTGACGTTTACAATGCATGGTCTGCTTTGCACTTCAGATCTTGAAGGCCACCATAAATACCTTTCATGAGGGCAGAATCTTCTGATCCTTAAATGGATCATCTGGATATAAAAGGCACTTTTTTCCCCACGTTATAGTCTTCAAAAAAGGGGGACAATTTTTTAATTGTATTCTTCAGGACATTTCGCCTGTCTGGGTTGGCTCTTGATAATCCAGTTCATTACTGCATAATGAATTTATTAGTCTGTTAACTACAGTCCTGACAGAGATAATGGCCAATGATTGCTTATAAATCCTTTGCTGCAGTGTTTCTTCTAAAGCCCGTGGCTTGTACTATGTTTTTAATAAAATCATAATACAGCAACAGTATGATGAAATACAGATCACCCGGGCATTCATAGCCAAAGTTAGCTTAACTGTGTAATAATTTGTTTGAAAGCTACAGGCATCAGAGGCAAATGCAAGCCACATGCAGGTTTAATAAAAAGAGTTTAGATTCAGTAATCTCTTATCAACCCACAAAGCACTTGCCCAGGTACTGCTCGGGTGGAATTTGCTGGAAGTTTTGCCAGAGCTCTGCAAGTCTTTGAAACGGACAGAAGGATGGACACAACACTGTGAACGCCCACTCCCCACACCCCACAGTTTCACAGCAAACAGCCAATTTTTTCAGCTGCTGGAGATAATCTTCATTCAATTTTGCATGCAGCAATGATGACCCCTAATGGTGAAATATTTCTTCTGCTGAGCAACATGCAGAGATTTTGCTTTTTGATGTCTATTTCTACTTTAATTAATTACAACTCCCTCTTGCAGACCAGCAGCACAATAAACTGCTTGAGGCTTACTTGAACTGCAACAAAAAAGCAGCTTCTTTGCCTTTGTTTAATTCTTTCTGACTTTGTACATGGAAGCATCAAAATGGAAATGCATATTCCAGATCTAAGTCCAGGACTTAAAGTCACCCTTTTTTTCTGATATAGACTATCTTGCAGAAGGATATATCAGTCACACTGCTGTGAATAACCCCTGCAGAAAGTCTTCAGAAAAGAGGACGAGACATTTTTTCTAGATCCATCAGCTGTATGCCTGAAAGCAAACAGCAGGCACCCAAAAAGCTTCTTCGAAGCCTTGTGTCAGCTGTCAGATAATGCTGCAGTTGCAGCATCTTTGATACCCGGTGATCTTTTCCTCAGAATCAAATAATCACTAATTACAAAAATAATTACCTTATTTCCAAAATTATAAGATGTTATTCTAGTATTAATTCAACATTTTAAGTGCATGTAGAGTGTAAAAAAATCTCATACAATGCTTAAAGTTGTTTGTTTTTTTTTAAACCCAAGTACATGTCAAAGCCTTTAACTCTGGCTGGAATCTATTTCTACATCTGGGCTGGGAAGAGAAGGTAATTTTAAATTGTGTTACAGATGCCAGGTACATAAAACTACATCTCACTTTTCTCTTGGGAGAGATGAGTATCACTGCCCATTTTAGCTTGCCTGGCACTTGTATCTACAGCAAGATAAAGAACAAGGTAACTGTATTACCCAGGCCTGACCTAAATGTGTCAACTTTTTCTAGGTTGAGATAAACACACAACTCTTAAAAGAAAAGAGCTGAGAGCCCCTGGCAGCTTACTGATTTGTTTACTTCATTTTAGCAATATTATAACTCAGAAGTTGTGCTAGATTTCATTCAAGTCTACAAAGCACAGAGCCTTCACCTAAATAAACAAAAACCTAGAGAGATTTCCAGACAGGTCAGGAAAAAAAGTTTTCAAACTATGATCTCTTTTTCCACTGTAATAGTAGTTAAAGTCACATGACTAAGTACCTACTAGAAAAAAAATATATGAAAACATGCTTCAGAACAGTGTCTTTACTGAACACACAATTTGGTTTGGTTAGTAAGTTATGTAAAATCCATTTTTTAAATTGCAATTTAACCGCTGAATTTTTCGTTACCTTTATGACTGTTTTCATTGGGTTTTTTGTTCTTTTTTTTGGAAGAACAATAATTACTGCAAATACTTCATCATTCTGTCTTACCTTTCTCACATCTGAGCTCTTTGGTTCTGTTGTCCAAGTTATAATTCTAGATACAGCAAGTCTTGTCTCACTGGAGTTCACAAAGTCTGTTGGATCCATCTGTCTTGCCAAGGACTCAATATACTTCAGGATAGCAACTTTCACCTGGGAAGCGAAAAGGGATTTGTTAATCTCATGAGCTGGCAAAAATGGATTTATCCCATAATAAACAGATACCACTACAGATTGACAAGACCCATGTCACATGGGGGGGTGGGGAAATCCCTGTAACATGTCTCTATGTCTGTTTCAAAAATCAAAAGCAACTTTCTACACAGGATAAATTTTGCGTAGTAAGAGTCTGGAATGGTGTATCAGAACTGGCTTGAAATACATGTGTCTGCTTGTGCGTTTGCATAAGCAAATCAATACTCCACCACGCTGTTTCCATCAGCAGTAATTGTTCCAGATGCCAAACCATAGCTTTTGGTCTCAAGCCAAACGCCTGATCCTAGACTCTCAAAAGATCCAGAATTTGGGAGATTGAAAAGAGAACACTGGAGTCATTTGGCATCTTGTCTATTCCTGTCTCTGGAAGATGATAAACGTGTATGACTTCCAGAGTTTACAGTATTCTTATAGCCTTGAAACAGCCACTTCCTGAAAAACAGTCTGTACAACAGTATCCCTTTAGGAGGATTCAGTAACAGAAAGTTCTGATGTTTTATTCTCCAAGCCCTGCACACGTTATGTCTGATCTGTGCAACAAGCACTTGTTAAGGTGTGCCTAGGGACCCAACTTCCCAGCCGTTCAGACAGGGTCTGGTCCCTTCTGTCCAGCACAGCCACATTTTCCTCCCACCAAGACCAGGGTGAAGAGAAATTTTCCATGTCCAAACTTTACTCTAATACATTCCAGCATGCTTAAAGCCCAACTCTTACTGACTTGTGAAGCATCACAGGGCCCTATTTTAAACATATTTAGATTTATTAAAATGAAGAACAAGAGAGTTAATCAAAGTTGCCAATATCATTGCTACATCATGCCAGTACTTCAAATTAGTTATAGTGAGTTCTATACTTTATGGTGCATGCCTGACATGGCAAGCTAAGACAACCATGTTGATGCTTTAGTGAAAAGGCTTTTGATACTGACCTTCAGGTTTGGTGTTTGGGTTTGATCTACAATAAATCTCATCAAAATGTTAAACTGTTGATCAAATGGAAAAGAATCCCTGTCCAAGGGAAACAAAGGCAAAAACGTAATGCAACAAATTTTCAGGACTAAATTAACTCGATACATTAAAGCTTACACAACAGATTTCAACACCTACCACGCTTTTCTTCTTCTTAACCTTACCATCAACCAGAGAAACTCCCAAGTCTAATGATTAGCTGATTATCAATGTAATACTAGAGAAAACAGCTAAATCAACTGCACACTTATCCAGCTTTTGGCACACCTGTCCATTCCTTCTTCATTTCAGGCTGTGCTTTGTTCCCCTATCTCTAGTGGCAGCCTGGTTTATCTTGTCCTCAGAAATTTCTGATTTAAGAGATTTGGTTTTGATTTCTCTCCTCTTTTTCCCTTTCTCCCTCCTCAATCCTATTTTCTCCCAGATTACTACTACTTCTTTCTTAATTATCCTATTTCCAGGATGAGCTGAACTTTACTGTCACAGTGTCTTGTGCTGGACATTTTTTTTCCATAAATCAAAAAGAAAATGGATAACAAAGCACATCCACACCAAAACCCCAAATTAATTAACAAAATAAATCAGTTACACATTTTAAATGTTATGCTTTAAAGTTACCTATTTATAAAAGACAGACCTTTTTACATCAATGCTTGAAGTATTGTGACATAGCTTTGTTGTTCTTTATTCTCCTATTAATCAAGATTGAGTCCCCAAAATACATGGCACCGCTGGGTTTCTGAAACGTTCATCAGATGCCTTCCTGTAATTGTGCACAAATCTCTATAACATTTGCTATCCAAGTACTCTACCTGGTGACATCCAGAGCTTTTTGAACTTTCGCCTGCACAGACCCCAGCAAATCTGCTCCCATTTTCTTTAGCAGCTGGGTCAGGAGAACAAAAAGCCAATCCTGCAAGTCATCTTTATGAATGATGATGAAATCAACCAGGGTTTCCAGAAACATGCTGAAGACCTATAAACAAAGCACATGTCATAAAAAGGAATACCATGCTTTAAATAGAAATAAGCAAAGGGAAGGGGTTTACAATCTGAGTTTCAGGATGATTTTGTTATAGACAGTTTCATGAATGAATGATTTTAGTGACTACATTGCTCTGAAAAAAATCAGACAAGACATGTCTAAAATGTGTCATATTAAAATATCACATGAAACGAATGAAGGAAGGGGGTAGAATACACTTACTCTCTGTTGTGAATTCCACGGCAAAGCAGGCCATGCAACAAAACAAACAACTCGTTAGCACACACAGTGATCAAGGCAGGTTGTTCAGATGCAGTTTCTCCACAGATAAAAGATGCATTCACTGAAAGTTTACATTTTCTTAAAACACAATCTCTTCTCAGGGGAGTTACTTAAAACATTATACACCTTGGATCAGATCCGGTCTCCTCACTCATGAAAGTAATATATGTTTATATGCAACAAAGTTTACATATGTTTAACACCACAACTAATGAGTTTGTAGCAATAATTCTATACAAGCAGTGTAGATGACAGATCACCACTGCCATAGTGGACATACTTGAGTCCAGTGTGCAATAAACCCTCACTTTACTCAGAAATTGGAAATATTTTGCAAAAAAATAGCTGCTCCTTTACCCTTTCCACAACACATACTGAATCTTTGAGAGCCAAAGCATTAGGACTTTACAGGTAGGAACTGCCACAACTCGGTGATGCTTGCGGGTCAGTCAGTCCAGAGTATAATTATGGCCAAAAATGCAGACTTTGAGCAAGACCTGTGACAGGCGACTATGCCTGCCCAGGGGATTTCCACCTGACAACCATTTATTAAAACTGGTTTACCAAGTGGTCTGAAGTACAAATATTTATACAACTTATTCTTTCTGAAACTGTATTTAATGCAAAAGCAGATGGTTTTACCTAGCCATTACTGGTTGCCCTCAACCAGCAAACCTCCTCAGGAAAGGGCATGAAACTCCCTTTTCCTCTCTCCCTGCTCCCACTTACCTGTTGACAGGAGACCATTGGGTCTGAAGGTGCTGTGTCTGTGGGCCCAACCTCCCTATTCCCTAGTCTGCTTCTTTTTTAAGAGATGTCTAAATTCATGCTACCGCCTTTAACTTCAGTGTTATAAAAAAGGAAAAGTAGCTATATTAAAGACTTCATTTATTTATAAGATCCAGACCAATATCTTGGTGAGACTCCATACTGCTCCCAGGTGCACACAATACACAAACCCCAGAGACCATGATGCTGAACTCTGGCTTGTTACCCTTCACGGACCTCACTCTACCATGTATCACCAAGACACTCTCTAGAGAAGTACAGATAAAACTGAACCTCTCGCCCCAAGGACTCACATCTGAAAGGCATTAGGTTGCTCCTTGGGAAGCATGGAGTAACAAGTTCCTAGCAACGTAAGAGAGACTGAGACACATCCCTTCATTGTAAAAGAGATAAAAATCAAGGAGATTTATAAATGCCAGTTTCCCCCAGCAGATGGCAGGGGTAGAAATACAAAACATTCATCCTGGAATGGTGTCAAATGTGCACACATGGCAATGCAAGAGAGCAAGCCAAGTCTTTGTGATCTTACCTTGCTGTGAGGGTCAGCAAACATGCGAGTAAATATTTCACACAGCCTTTTTAACTCGACTCGGCTAAAACACATAAATAAAACATGATATTAATGCTAAAGCTCTAGTTACAGCAAGAAAGCTAATAAATATTAACAGCTGAAAGATCTAACCTTCTTTATTTAAATGTTATTTACAGCAGACTTCTGAAAACTCTGTATCTAGGCAAAGCCCTAACTGGAATTCCAGTTTAATGCTGAATCACCAGCCTTACATTAAGAAATGTAATAAACTGTTTTTAAAATCATAAACCAGACACTTGTATTTTCTGCTGCTTCTATTTTCTTCTGTATTCTGGATTGCTGAAGAAAACTTGAAATGTGCACATTTGGGAGGTATTTGCTTTCTGCCTCTGTCAAGGTTGCTGACCCACTGAAACACAGGTCTTTTGCAGCCTCCTTTGTGTCAGGGAATTCAAAGTTTCAAGTAAAGTCAGAACTTTCACGCTGTTTGCATATATACTAATCATAAAAATATTTTGGTCTAAATTGCCAGTGGCTTCAGTAAAATCAGCCTAGAATCACACAGTAATAACAGATACCGGAATGGACTTCAAAGTCTGAGAGCAGGCACACTGAGGAGACAAATACATAGAAATGGAAGACAGACTGACAAGTGGGCAACCTAGTAAGTCAGAAGACAATTACATCAAGGCACAATCTAAGTTCCCATTAGTAAGAGATTATTAGGCACTCAGTAATGCTCTTTTTAAGCCAGGCGAAGAAAGAAGGACGTGTGGGTCCCTTTCATAAGATACTGAGTTTGAGTCAAATGCAGAACTGTTTGGTGCCAAAGCTCTTATTTGCAATGTATTGAAAATACAAGTCTTAGTTTTTCTACAAAGCAAACTGGCAAAGAATGCAGAAATTTTGCTTGTTCACTGTGCAAACAAAACCAGAGCAAGACAGTTACTAACATTTCCTGCATACTATGGAGGCAATTAGATATTCTTCACAATTATTATGTAATTAGAGCAACTACTGAAATGCACATCAATTACTTGGAGAACAGCTGTTCAGATCTTGACTACAGGTACCCTCTTTCTGGAAAGACATTAATTCTACAATCCACCAACATATCTTCCCCTCTCTCAAAATCAGCTTCAAAGAACAGGCCAGAACACGCTAGTACTCTGCAATTATTTTATGTTATCTTGTTTATAAGTAACACAGGACATTTTTTCAAATAAACCTATGCATGAAAGGCTGATCAAATTTTAAAAGGGCACAAAAACCATGGTATTAAGAGTTTGATGTAGAGGAAAAAGTCTTTGTAATGACACCACGGCGAGCTGTCAGCTTCATTCAGGATGAGGCTGCACAGTCTCAAAACGACTACTCTACAATGCTCTCCTGACTTGCAGAGTACAGTTCTCTGAATGAACTCCTATTGATAACTCTAATGAATTTTCTTTCTGGACAAAGGTTACATGAAGACAGCAAATATAAGTGTGTGTCTTTCTAAAAGCTTATGGGCCCGAGGTAACAATGCAAGTACTAAATTGAAACAGGCAGTAGAAGAACGTTTCCTTAAGGGACTTGTTGGCCTTTTTTTATTTAGACGACCTTATGGTAAGCACAATACCACTCTACATGCACATCTTTCTGGATATGCAAATCCCAGCTAATATAGGATCTGCCATCTTTCATTTCAGAGTACTAAAGAAAACCTACCACATCACTGCCTTTTATTAAACTATACCACAACAGAAGATATCAGGTTTAATTAGAAGGCAGACAGACTTGCCCCTTGGACTAATGACCTTCATGATGTTCTGCAAGATGCTGTGGGAACAAACAGGATGATAAAATCTAATCATTAGAACAAGCATCAGATCAACCCTGATCCAAGGAGGAAGCAGACCAAAGGAAATATAATCTTGAGAACTAAAACTGGTAACAAATTAAAAAAAATAACTCTGCAGGGGTGGAGTTTCTGGGACAGGTCTATAAACTATTCAGGATCAAAGCTAAGTAACATGCTAGCTAGAGGGACTAGTGACAGCAGTACAGTTCAAAAACTGCAACCAGCAGGATTTAAAACAATAGTTAAATTCTACGGGCGTTTCTGCCAAGAGCTACTGATCTGGATAAATAGCCCATCACCCCACCTTCTCAGCATTTCCTCCCTTGAACTGGCCCAAACGGCAACTTGAAACCTGGATTATAATCCTCGCACTTTTGCGGTAAAAATCAAAGCCTCACTCAACTTTTTCATGCAAGTATATGAGGTGCCAGAGTCTTTGCAGACAGTTCATTAAAATAAAGAAAAAAAAGACAGCATACATGTGGGAACTATCTTTTAAAAGACTCATAAATAGACCACATCAAAAAGCATCTCTGATCTAGAGACTGTAACTACCCATATTAAAAAACTGTAGCACTTCCCACTTAAGGACTGCATCACATCATCTGAAGTGCTAGAATATTTTTATGATGGCAAGAGAATAACCTTTCCAGGCCTGCTCCCAGTACATTTTCATTCATCCTGTTAACATGAACCACCACATATTTTCAGCCAGCGAAGGCCTTTTAAAATGGAAACAATTGCGCAAATCTGAGTAGGTAGGCTATAAACCATACAGCAACCACTTATAAACTTGGTTATAGTTTAAGTACATAATATTCGTAACAGGAAAATAAAAACGTCACAGCTATTTATGAATGTTATCTTCAAAGGAGCCAAGAGATAAACAGCTTGTTTCCAAATACTTTCACCACAAACTAAGGGTGAAAAGCCTATGGCCTGAGAGCCAGTTGTATTTTGTTAACATGACCTGTGGCCATATGAAGTTTCCACATGACTATTGGGTAATTCTAGGATCTGTTTTAATGTGTGACATGTCAAAGGTATTTGAAGGGTTTATTTGGCTTTCAACAAGGGAAAAAGCTCTGCCTCTCCTACCATAAGCAAGGTTTTAGAGTTGCTACACCTACTTCATTGCCTTAAGAAACTTCCCTCTACATTCTAAACTACACCATTTATAGGAGACTCAAGTTTCTGATACAAGATTTTTCAAGAGTTACAAATAATATCTATAATTATACCTAACACAGCCTTCATAAAAAGTCAAAGTATACCCAGCATATGGAGAGCACTGCCTGATCTCATCTTTGAAACACACACCCTAAGTCATTTCAGAATAGGTGCAGTGAGTGTTTGCTTCACCAAGTTGCTGGGGAAAAAAATATTGAAGGTTCAAACAGACTAACGTAAAAATGGTACCACCCTTTGAGTGCATTTACATTACCATCGTTGTGGGAAATCTCACTTTGCTGCAACAAGGACCTACTAGTGGAGGTCTTTACAAGACAGAGGAAGGGTAAGGAAAGATAGCATGCTTACCCAAGTCTATATTACTGCCACAGATTTAACACAAATTATACTAGTGAAACACCAGAAATTTTTCCAAAAGTAATTGAAGTCCCATATTGTGGAGACAAAGCCTTCACAGCTGTGAAAGATACTATCAGTCTACATAAGGCGGGTACATATTACTGACTTCTGACTGTAGCCATCTCTCATGAATAACCAACACTATAAAACTATCAAGGTCACCTCAGTGTCCGCTGGCTTTTCAGTAAGTTCTGAAGACCTATGAGCCCCTCTTTCCTTTCAGACCAGTTGGAGCTGGCACAGTGGTTCAGGACCTCGGCCACATCTTCAGTCTGTCGCAGGTAGTGTGGAATGCCCCCATTCCGGGAACCATAGGAGCGCTCCGAGCATGCGCTTGATGCATCGCTGTTAGCATCATCATCGGAGTACATCCCATAGGGTTCATATCTTCTTCTCACTGGCTTTTTCTGGAAAAGGGGAAGTTCAGAGTTGGTAAGTTATATACAGTTACATCAATACCTAAAGAAAAACATTCTATCTGCAATCACTAAAATGAAGACTAATGCTATTGTTACAGTGACAGAAGTGTTTAAAGACCTCATCAAGCACTGCCTGCTTACCTCTCGCAGCAGAGCAAGACAGATCCTATTGATTTCAAATGAGACTAGTTGAGCAACTAAGGGGAGTAGGGCCTGCCTTCCCCAGCATGAAAGTGAGATACTTATGCTCAGTGGAATTAGCTACCAGGAATGAAATCGTATGTTGTTTTATTGTCAATAATGGTCAGTTCCACTATTACAGATTCTACAATGACACAACCTCTACTTGAAGAAAAAAAAAAAGGAAGAAAGAGCTGAAGGAATCTGTGCTGACATGCACAGTAACTTTGATATTACTAATGAAAGGACTCTAGGAATACAGTGGGATATAGAAGATGACAATTTCTCTGTTAGTTTGGGCTAGGATTTTTCTAGAGGTTCCCATGGGAGTTGAGTGCTCAAATCCCATTCATTTCCATAGCATGGCATTAGAGGACCTAATTCCCTTAGGAACATCTTTGACAACGTCAATATTAGAAGGGATATTAGAATAATTATGGTAGCAAAACCAATTGCATCCTATACTGCAAAATAAACTCTTAAATGAACTTTAACAGAACAGGATTGATAAGACGTGTCAGAAAAAGATTGCCTATATTCTAAAGTGTTTGCTACAGAATTTCTTCCAGTGTCCAGTCCTGCAGTGCTTGGACTTGTGAAGGCAGCAGAGTTTTGCTTCCACTAGGACTGCAGGATTGAAGCATAGAAATTAACTCAAGTGCAGTATCATGGGTGTTAGCAACAGGGTGGGGAAAGTTGGAAAGTAGAAATAAAAAGTCAAGAAAGCACTAGTACCTTGCTCCTGGAGTCTCCTAACAGCTGTAGGCAGGAAAATATTGAAGGGTGGGAAAAAGCATAGAGAATTATGTCAGAAGCTTATGTAGGGTTTGTTTTTGCAACAAAAACGTATAGCAAATGTGTCTTAGCAAATTAAAAAAAAATACAGTTTATGCAAAATAAAAGTGGGTATAATAACGCCTGGCTTTATCTCCTAATTGCTGCACTGCTCATATACCCTACCATGTCCATTAGGAAGCTCAGAAGTGAGATTATCTGTTAATAATGTTTTTGATGACAGATCTATACACAGCACCTCTTTGCTTACTTTTCAGAAACGCTGCTCTGGAAGATACCAGAGTTTTTGGTAGTGATTTATTTCCCCACACATTATCAGTAGCATTTGATTTTAGAGTCTTGGAAAGAAATACTGATGTCAGGGAACCACTATCTACAGTACAGCACATTTAATCAACTTCACTTAACCAAGTTCTCTTTCAACCCGCAGCTCTTACACCACACTTTTTGAAGCTTAGTTTCTTTTAAGACACCCTGGCTGGCACCCCTGGCTTAAAGGCCTTACTTAACAGTGAAGTTTCCATCACTCTTTGAGCTCTTCTGACAGATCTAGCACTGATTCTCAGTATAGATACTGTGGGTTTAGGCCAAGTCCAGCTCTCTAACAGAAACAGTGGATCCAACAGGAATTGTACACATGGAGAAGAGGTCACAAAATGACCCATTGTGTTTTGTTTAAAACGAGTATTTTGCTGAAGCCATCTTTGGAGAAGTTCTTTTAATTTCCTACTACAGGGAACAGAATATTCATCCAAAAACAAGGCTGCTGGGTAAAAGCTGGCATCATGCTACCCTCCCAAAATGAGCCTGAACCAAGTTTGTAAATTGTCTGTTGTCAGCAGACAACTAAGAAAAAAAGCAAATTAGTGTGGTGGGAAAGAAGGGGACAACAAGATCACATTTCATCCCCTAAGGTAATTCAAATTCAGACTGACAACATAGGCAGTAGCACTACCTGGTCTCCAGCTACGCTTATGGATTTCCCTTTTAAGTGTTCAGCTCTAAGTTTTAAGCATTCCAGTATAATGTTATTTAAATTATAAAAGTGGAATATTTAAAAAGGGAACTCCGTAAGTCTAGCTGAAGATTAAGTCACATCCAGAGACATCTCCGTGATCACAGCGGTGTTTCAATTCACTGCTAACCTCTCCTCCCTCAAGAAACCTGTATTTAGCAACTGCTCACATTCAGGGATACAGTCTGGTTTTATTTAATTACAGGTGATGGTTTGCCTGTCTATGTTCTTAACTGCTCTAGTGGCAAATCTGATGTGCTGAGAGCAGAAACTACCTCACAAGCTGTTGCATTTGATAATGAAAATGCCCGCTAATGATTCAGCCCACTCAATGCAACAATGCCATCTCTTATATACTGTCCTACCTCTATATTGTTCACAAGTACTTTTATATTTTACGGAAAGGTAGATTTCATAAAAAAGGCATTTCTCTAGGAGTACTCTAATAATCATCTAGAAATGGAAGTGACATGAGCTGGGTAATAACCAAATATAAAAAAGAAAATGATGTTAGCCATCCTTAGGGAAAGCGAACTAGGAAATGGAGAACAGACATCTCTCAATATCTTGGAACATGGTTCATTCTCAGTAAAGACAGATATGAGATATCTGCCTCAGATACATCAGGAAATCCTCCCCTCAGCTCAGGTCTAGAGCTGGAGAAGACCCAAGGTACACTGGTCCCCAGGTAATGCTGTAGAATAATTGCTCCTGCCTCTACATATCCTCTCTCCCCCAAAACCCCAAGGTTAATCCAAAGACTTATCCTAATGTGTTTTCTGAAGAGCAGAAGTCACTTTCTGGGTTCTACCCAAGACATACTATAGTACAGTAAGATTATACAGGACAATAAAATTTCAAAAAGTGACAATAAATTTACTTGGAAATACACTGGATATTAATAAATACAAGGAGCACACTACACATACATTTCAATGTAACTGCACAAGCTAAGTTATGAGCTGATCTAAGGATCTAGCCAGGTGCAAGTAACACAGGGCAGGAACTTGTGAAATTCTCAGTTCTTGTTGAAACCTGATCAGGAATCAACACTAACAGAGAACACGCTGTTCTTCTGACTAAATCTTCATGCAGGTAACAGGACTGACGGAAATCCCTGACCCCGCGGGTGCCAAGCACCCCCACAGTGCCTCCTTCATCCTCTGACAGCCAAGTGAAAGGCAAACAGCTGATTCAACCCATCCTGCAGCTCTAGCACCGAGCCACAGCGGTCTCTTTGATAACAACTGTGGAGAACTAACATAGAATAACGAAATAAATATTGCTGCCAGTATACCCAAACACAAAACGGCAAAAGGTAATGAACTACAGCATCAGACACTGGCACAATCAGAACAAAGCTATTTAGAAAGAGGAGAACGTACGTACAGGTAACTTTAAGCCACTTTCCGGTGTCGGAAGCATTTTGTATTTTTCCTCTTACCAGTGCATCAGCCACAGCAGCCTCCAGATCTGTGCTTGTGCTCAGGACTCGCATGGCATTCACAGAAGCAGGCATCCTGCCTGGCTGTCCGAGTCCAAACCGGTCTGCACAAAAGACAACATTGAAAGGGACTGTTAAATGAATTCACATTCACTTGGAATCCTAATCAGGTGCCCGAGCAGCTCTCCCCACAGGCTCTGGGAACTCGCAGTGCTTTTCCATTAAACACTCTTTTATCCACAGCTCTAGAGAGTTTGCCATTAGAGTAAGAAATAAACTATTGTTTGTTGGGCCCCAGAGACAATTTTGGATCCTCAGGGCAACTTTTAAATTGCTTTTTTTTTAAGCTGGGAAGAAGGGTATTTAGTTTGTATTTCTTTTTACACAGAAGTTGTTTCAAAGTTTTATTTTAATGACAGAAGCAGACATGTCAGCCCCAATCTGGCATACTCAGAAATCAAGAGAAAGCTTCTCATTAACTTCAGAGAGACAGAATCGTGCCCAGTGTCAGAACATGTTAATAGCCGAGCATTCATCCATCCTGCAGCTGTCTCTCAGGCAAGGATGCGAGACTAGCAGCACCAGATTGGCCTATTTTGTGTCTCAAGGGTTGGTTAACCAGTAGACTATATCCCTACGCCTCACAGTATAAAAATAAAGTTCATTATTTGCTTGTGAAGTGACTCCAATTTTTGTTTCATTATTGTTCTTGAGAAGTAGCTTAAGTGCTATTTAAAAGGTCTATGATATATCAAAATGGGGTTTTTTTGATCAAACAATATCATCTTTCTTCCTTTGAATTTGATGGCAAAGCTCTCAATGGCATCCAAATCAACAGGATTGAGTTCAAAATGCCATTTACACTCCTAATTAGTTTACTTCATCATTTGCCCAGACTACCAAAAGAGTTACTGAAATTAGTTTCTTTGGGCAAAGGTCAAATTCAGAAAGCCACACTAGCAGAGATATGACAGAATCAGTGACCTGAGTATCACAGGCCAGGCTCTGGCAGCACAGTCCGTCTAGATGGGGGTAGATCAGATACCGTATTACTGGGATCTTGGCTCCGGTCTACAAGCAAGAAGAGATTGGTTTTGGCATTCCAAGTTTTTGTTTCCAAGTGGGCTTGGTTTTGCTCAAGAAGGAACGGGAACACCCTTCCTGGGACATACTTTATACTTCTGTCCCCTGCACCCACACATGCCATTAAGAGTTTTGCCAGCAAATTCAGCGGTGTACGAATCAAGCTGCATGAACCCATTAAATAGACCTTCAGCCGACCCACACTGGAGGCAGTCATCAAGCAGTGAGAGGGGGATCAAGTCACACAGGCCTTTTATTAGTTCATCCATATTTAATTTAACAAAGGAAAAATACTGTTTATCAAAATGCATAACTATATTGTGGATTTCCACAGAACGGAGGTCAAACATGTTATTCAGCAGCTTACTGTATTTTTTTTTTTGAAAAACACTGCGCTTATCACAAAACTTCATGTTTTCTTCTTTATCTTCTTTAAAAGCCTACTGCACTGAAATATCTTTTAAGGAATTAGCTCACACTGACATGCATAATTTAAATCAGAGACTGAAGTTTGCCAGTCTACTGTCTTAATTCCAAAGCTTTACCTGACTGTGTCAGAGATTAAGCTACTGAGGGGAAATAGGGAAGATTTTTTAAATCTACAGTATCTTGAGAAAAAAAAACAACCCTGAAGACTAGTATTTGTTTCAAATAGAAATGTTATCTATCAGAATTACATACCCAGACAAGACATTTCTGATTTACAACAAAAGCACATTTTCTACAAAACACATTACAAGGGAAAAAATAAACAAACTTCTTAGAACTACTGCCAAAAAGTAATCAAATAATGACATTTCACAAAAAAATAAAAGTTGTATGTGTTATTACTATCCCCTTTTTTAATGCACTTGGGTTGAAGAATCATTTCAAGTGTTTCAGAGAAACAGTACTTCATCCCTAAAATGGAAAGATCTGTACATTCTTAATAGAAGCACAGAGAAGATGATTATGCATTAGGTCTGATTGAAACTAAAGTCACTACTACAGCGATAGACACTACAAAGATGTACAGAAGACAACTATTTTCCTAAGTGTAAATAATATCTGGCACAATACGAGGGTTGTAAATGTTGAGACAAGTTCTGGACTCAGTTTTATATTTAAACCCAACTCAGTGACATTACTCAAATGTTACTGAGATCAGAATTTGGCTTTAACTTTTGAAATAAGATAGCATAAGAAAATACCACTGTCATTTGTTTTCATGTTAATTTAGTATTACATTAGAAAAGGGAAGATAGTTTGTTTTTTTTAAAATGAAGAACAGAATGACAAAGTAATTCAGTTGTAGATCAGTTTAAATACCCAGCATAAAGAAACAAAATGGAGCTTTTTTTAACAAATCAAGTACAGTGTGGCATGCTGGCTTTTATCTGTCTCCACGGCTATCAGGGATTTCCTGAAATACTTCTTTTAGTGATCTTTAAATTCGTAACACCCAAGTCACTCTGGGCTTCTCCCCAAGACACTGTTGCCATACCTGAGTGCAGAAGTTAGACCTTAGGAGAGACCTTGGCATACCTCTAACATGGGGCTGGGAACACATCTGGCTCCAGGAATAACCAGTACAGGCAAGCCCAGTGTTACTGAGCAAGAAATAAGCAGAGTATGCCCTGGCCACATTCCCTTGTCTCCCTAGCTAGATTTGTTATACTACTTAGAAACTTGGTGAAAACTCCCAACAACCATTTTTGGCCAGATTCTGCCATTTTTAGAAAGATTTTGACCTTCCTTAGGATGCAGATACCTATATGCAATCTGATTATGCCTTGTACTAAACCATAGGAGCCAAGCATGAAGTGACTATCACAGGAAGTTGAATGCAAACAAAGCTGTATTACGATTGAGGTTTGGGTTTCTTTTTTAAAATCTTTTCAATTATTAAATATTACTATTAATCCAAACTGTTACTTTGAAAATTGCCAAAGAGTCAAATCAGCTTGCATCGTTTCTGCCAAGTAACCTGACATGGGAAATGTTTTGAGAGTTTTAGGTAAGTGACAGCCATTTAACTAGACTTAAGAGAAAGAGTATTTTTCACTCCCTGTCTGAAGGGGGTTGATTAAATAACTTACAGTATCACTAATTCCTCATGCAATTTTAGCCTCCAAGCAAACACTGAAGCCCTCATTCATCTTTGACATCACCTTTGTCCCCACAACTAAGTTTCTATTGACCCAAAGCTAGCAGCCCTCACTCGTTTCTTTTTAAGACTCCCAGTAAAATATCCTGATTCCAAAGGGAGTTACAGGTTCTCTGCAACTGCAAACCCAGCCCAAGGGTGGGGAAGCCGCCACTGGAATCTGCAGATTTTTCTCATTATATGTAAGCGTTAATCTCCTGATGCAAAGCCCAGTGAAATTAAGAGAATAATTTTTTCAACAACTTCCATGTACTTTGGACAAGGCCTTCAGAATTACATGAAGAACGGATCAGCACACGTTATCCTCCAAAGTCCATTTTGAAAGCACATCAGGTGCTTAATTCTTGCTGCTCTTGTGTATTTTGGAGAGGAGGATCCCACAAAGCACTTTCATTAACAAAGACAGGAGTCCAGAATATTTAGTAATAAATGGGATGAAACCCACTGGGATCCGGTCCTAGGCATTGGGACCCGCTACACTGCTAAAGAGTAAATATAAGCAGAAGTTGCAAGTACTCTGCATCAGTCAGGATTTAGCCCATGCTGCACAACTGATCCAATTTACAGGAGAACTGAGAAAACCCTGGATCACCCTTTGTTTAAACACTGCTCACAATGTTCCTAAAATACATAAAATTAAAAACATCCAATAAATTAAATTCAAAACAAAAAGCCACATTGAACAAAACAGAACAGAAAGCCCCACAGCAGTGAGAAGCACATGCCAAGTGCTGGCTGATGCACATGACGGCAAATGTTAAGATGGTGTAAAACAAGACTACGGATAAGAAGCGGATTCATGCAGTTAGCGCTTGTTCACCTGACTGCCCAACAGAATCAGCAGTGGAGAGAGCACTAGTGGACCTGGAATGACGTCGAGAAGCTGCAAGTAGAAGGAATGGCAACACCCACAGGATTAACACACATTTAACCAGAGACAGAAAATGCCACAATCCAAAGGGGATGCGTGTGACCGCTACCGGTAAAGGTGTTTCATAGTGACAGGGAAATGACGCTGTATATGAATGCATAACAGATACAGTGCAAGCCCCACAGCGACGCCTCCATCTGTAGCTTCCCCCCTTTTCCCCATGACCGTAAACACGATGCATGACAAAACTCATTTGTAACAGTCCCAAACTCATTGCAGTTCAGCAAAAAAACCCAGTGCACATCAGTCACGTTCCAGACCCACAGATCTGGAAGATGGCCATCATGAGAACGTGGAGCACATAACTACAGAGCAGGATTTAGATGTGTCTGATCTAAACCCCAAAGTAAAGCCATGACGAATGGTTAGGAATTGTGCTTGCAGGTATTTTTCCACAACATTCTAGCCTATGCATAAAAAACCAACATTAACAAAGAGAATGAGTAACCACAGAGGTAGAAAGAGTCATACAGGGAGGTCAGGCAACCACTGCATATAGGTCTTCAGGTTGGGTTTATTTTCTGAGTAAACACACATACACACATATCGTAGCTGTTGCTACTACCAAAAGCCTCTTGCTTTTAACAAATTTTGCATACATGTTTCTTGAATCTAAGTATGTACATGCACAGATAATCTAAATACGCACATCATACACCTATCTAGAATTACACCACATGTATACAAATTGTTAATAGCAACGGAGCACAAACAGTAGCAGAAGAGCTAAAACCAAATATAGCTCCCACTTCAACTCCCAGTTGCCAGCAGCACATGAATCACAAAATGCCTTTGGAGAGGTTTTCAGTTCTTGGGTTCAGCATAAAGGTGAGTTCTTTACAAGAGCAAATGGAAAGCTGGTCCAGCCATTTCCAAATTACAGAAATTTAGTCTTTCCAATGAGGTTTTCCCACTGTCTATCCATGACATGCTCACTGAGCTCA